GCAAGTGATGAAGGTCTGTGTAGGTTTGTTATGATATATAAAGGATGAGACAAAAATAATATACACATAATCTTAAAATGTCTATGTTCATAGTTTAGTCAACTAGTTTAAGAAACAAAATATATATCTAGTCAAGGTTTATATGAGAATATTTTTTTTTACCCACGCTTTATCTACATAGCACATGGTAATTAAAAGTACCAGACTGGTGGAACTAACCTTATTGGATGTTTAACAGTCATACTTTGAGACCTATACTAATCTGGTCAGAGGGACTTAAAGGACAGTTTTTGCCCCTTGCCCTCCAAGGTCGACTAAGTTCCAGGGGACTATGGAACATCTCTCAAATTGTCCTGTAACTGTGGCGAGTCGCCTGTCCTCTTGTTCAGGGAGGCCATGGCGACCCCATGAGATGGACTTGAACCAGTGTCCAGTCTACAAAGAGGAGGGTCAACTCAGAGGAAACATCTCACCCAGGGTGGGGACTGACACTGATTCTAATCACTCCAACAACTATCAAAATACCTAAAAGCAAATCCTGAACCCATCACTCTCGAGTCCAGCCTTGGCAGACAAAAGAAAAATGAGGAGGAAGCCAATAGAGGGATGCTTTTGGAAGCTCTCATCAAGAAATTCCAAGGGACTCTAATAAGAACATTTGACATTTGCCCTGTTCTGACTTTTTTCTGGTTCCCTGTCTAGAGCTTGTAATGCTAACTACTCTTCTCCTTCACATCCTCTGTTCACCAGTCAAGGACTTTCTTTCCCCCCTACAGATAAGAGTTATGCAATTTGGGAGTCTTTTCGATAGACCCACTGAAGGGGTACTCCAATTGCCTCACCCTGCGTGCCTGTTCAGCATTGAAGAAGCCAGAGTGGTCTGAGAGTCCTGATTCCCTATCCACAAGTTGGGCAATCTTTTCAGAGATGGTGTGATAATAGGAGGTAGGAATTGGCTAGGCAGTTAGGGTAAAAAGACCCCAAGGAAAAGTAGCCAGTTTCTTGGCTAAAAGTCAAAATGTCCTTGGGCTTTTTAGCAACATACTCTATTCCAAAGGCCAAAATTGACAAAAGTATTTGGGAGCACTTGCACTAGCTGTTCTTGCAGAGCAGCATCCACATGATGGCTAGCAATCATCCGTGATTCTACTTCCAGGAGATCAGAGGCCCTCTTCTGACCTCCACAGGCATTGCATGACATGGGTGCACTTACACATATGCACTTACACATATTCAGGCAATACACTCATGCACATAAAAATAAATAAAATATTTTTTAAAAAGTAGTAACCAGTCCCAAGCCTACCTGGTGTGGTACAGATGACACAGCAGCTGAGTCTTGTGAGTTCCCATCTCATTCTAGCCTTCATTCTCTCTCTCCACCATCTCACAGTCCCAGGCCTACCTAAGGTTTCTTCAGATCCTAGCCTTCCCTCTCTTCTCCATCATCCCATACTTCTAGGCCTAGCCTAGCCGTGGGTTACACAGCCCATTCACTCACCTAGAGCCCAGAGTGTTTCCCAGATCTCTGCCTTCCCTCCCCGTGTCTGCCATTCTACACTCACAGGTATGGCTCCCCAGACCCAGTTCATCCGTTATCTATCTTAGTAGCCACTCTGCTTCCACATCACTCAGGGACCCAGTGGATTCCAATAAGGAACTACAGGTAGGGATCCCCAAACCTAGTTAGCCAGCCATCTAGCTTAGCAGACACCTCACGCTCCATGATGTTCCAGTACCCTATGGATTCTAACCTGGAACCACAGATAAGAACCCCCAGACTAAGTTTCCCAGCACTCCAGTTACCGTCTGCAGTTCAGTCCTGGGACCACATGGTGTCTGGTGATCATGATCCCACATAGGGATCCCCAGAGCCAACCCACCACCCCACCTACCAAGACAGCCTGGGACCCTAGGGCACCTTGTGCCCCTGGTCCCAGATAAGTACCCTATCCCTTCCAACTGAGAACAGTGTGATGTCTTATACCCCATTCTATGGAGCACCACGTGCTCACAATGTGACCCCAGCTCCTGCTGCCAGATGACCACCTGTAGAATCTGATGAGCCCTCCACAGACTTCGGAAGATCAGCAGTGATAATCTAAAATCATAGGCTTGTACCTAGGCTCAAATTTGCACCTATCACTAGCTAAACTGAGACCACTTCTGATCCCCCATTCAGACATCAACACAGAGGGACCCCAAGTCTGAACACCAAACATCACTCAGGTCAGCCACAACCTGACAAGTTGTGGTAACAGCAAAGTTCCAAACACCCACTCAAAGATAAAATCAGATATCCATACAAGGAAACACCACCAAATGAACCATATAACTCCCATTACAAAAATATCAGCACTATGATTAATGAAGACAATACATCCCTCCAGAAATTAATACCCCAATTATGTTTACTGAGAAAAGCAACGTAGCTGATGCACAAGACAATGATTTTTAAAAAACTGTAAATACATTCAAAAGAAACAGCAAAAGGGAGAGGAAAAAGGTAAATTGGAATATTGGTTAGACAATAAATAAAGAGTTGGTTATTCCCATTCCCATGAAAAAAATAATCATTTCAAATATACATGCCTACCTGTAAATATTAAATTCAAAGAATTAAAGGGCAAATGGGGACAGGCTGTCTTACACTTCTATGGTAAAATAGAAACCGCAAGGCTATAAAGAAAACAATGAAGACATTGCTTGGCTATGTTAAGAAAAGGTTAATCATTGAACTTTGTACTTTCCTTTTACTGTGATTATTGAAAAATATTGTACACTGAGAAATACTGTGCAAACTCATGGTTTGATTTATGGTCTGATGCTTTACTGCTATTGTAAGCTTTCTAATCATAAATAAAGGTTGTAGAAGGCTGCTTTAAGAAGAGAAAAAGAAGAAGAGAAGTAAAAGACATTCAGGCTGACCTCCCCTGAGAGGATCAGTCAACAGCCGCTACTAGAACTGCAATTGTGGTTTCTGGTACAGTCATTTCTACCACTGCAATTACCTTCACCCCTTCAGGCCCTGGATTCACCTGGAGCTGGACTCCAGCACTACATAGTGAGTTTGAGGACAACCTAGGTTAGAGTTTTCTGTGTCAAAAAAAAAAGATGGTTGTTCTACCCAGAGCCTTACCAGACCAGTTCTTGAGTTTTGCAGGAAGGATAAGTGAGAATTTTTTAATATTTGATGTTTCATTTGTGTCTTCTGCAAAGCAGGCCTAGTTTTCAGTTGTTTCAAATTCCACATTGGAATTCCATGGGCTCCACCCTCTGCCTCAATATATATCCCGAGTACAGTCTTTCCTTTCCATCCCCCATACTCCACCCCTACAACTTTGCTGTTTATTATCATGTTTCTTCTTAAACTATCTATGCTGTCATCTAGAATACAAAAGGTGAGAACCACACAGCTTAACTTGAGCAGCATGCACAAGGAAGAGGACGTTTCTCCCCACCCTCCACTGTCCTGCCTGCCCCTCCCAGCTGCTGCTTCTTGGGCAGACCACTGTAACCCAATATTACCGCTTCTAACTCAACCGTAGGAATTTCAGTTCTCTGGTCTTCTGACGCAGTTCAGACCCCTGAGGGGGTCCACGGCTACTTACTTTTTTGTGTTCACAGGTTTGCCTGTCTCTGCCTCTCGTCTAAAGTTTTTGACCAAAATAGTTCCATACTGTTCAATGATGGGGAACATCTAAGCACAAAATACAAGACCATCCTTCGTTAAATGTGGAGACTCAAGTCACAGAAAGACAGTTTATTCCAAATCATGAAGGTGCACATGGTATAATAATGACTATTATAATGAGTCCTCTAAAATACAAAGAAAGCAAACATTTTTGGAAGTTCAAGCTCAGAAGATGACCCCTACCAAGGTGTTCTGAACTTAGCATCTACCTGTTCTCAGATTTATTTTTTAAGATTCCAACTAAAAGCCCTTCACTCACCTCCTTGAGTTTGCCACTGGTGAAGGCTGGGGACAGCAGTGCTCGAATCCTCTTCCAGTCCTCGTCCTGAGCTATGGAGACAGCTTTTCTCATAAATCCCGCTGGACCAAAAGTCTAGAGTCCAAAGAAATACAAATTTTGTTCTATGTAAGTTCAGAGTACCATGACTGTGTAAAATTTGTTACTCAGAAACCATTTTTTTTAGCAGTTATTTAGTGACTACTCTGGGACAAGCCTCATGCTATATGCTCAAAAAATGTCAAAATTGCTTTATAGGCAAGGCAGGGTGGCGTACATCTTTAATCCCAGGACTCAGAAGGCAGAGGCAGATGGATCTCTGTGAGTTCAAGGCCAGCCTGGTCTATATAGCAAGTTCCAGGCCAGCCAAGATTACATAGTGAGACCCTGTCTCAAAAAAACAACAAAACAGGGCCTGGAGAAATGGCTCAGCAGTCAAGAACGCTGACTGTTCTTGCAGAAGACCTGGGTTCGAATCCCAGCATCCACATGGCAGCTAACAACTGTCTGTAACTCCAGTCCCAGGGGATACGACACTCTCTTCTGTCCTCTGTGGACATGGTGCATGACATGGGTGCACTTACATAATGCAGGCAATACATGCATACACATAAAATAAAAATAATAAATAAAAAAAAATTTTGGTCTTTTTGAGACAGGGTCTCCTTGTAGCCCCAGCTGTCCTGGAACTCACTATGTAGACCAGGCTGGCCTTGAACTCAGAGAGATTTGCCTGCCTCTGCCTCCTAAGGGCTGGGATTAAAGGCATGCACCACCACGCCCGGCTATAAATAAAAATATTTTTAAAAAAATAAGCCAGGGGTGGTGGCGCAGGCCTGTAGTCCCAGCACTTGAGAGGCAGAGGCAGGCGGATCTCTGTGGGGTCAAGGCCAGCCTGGTCTACATAGTGAGTTCCAGGACAGCTGGAGCTACAGGGAAACCCTGTCTCAAAAAAAAATTTAAAAGATTGAACTAAATGTTATACAAAACTTAACATGAATAAAGTCATAGATTTAAGTGTCAATCTCAAAAGAATATAGCTCTATACAACCAAAGCCGCATAGGACAGCTAGGTAAATGCTTATCAGACTTGACATCTTAAAGCATAATTCGTAAAAAGAAAATGGACATAGGCTTATTAGGAGGAGAAGACAGGTAACTAACATGGTAACTAACAGACTGCAAGAGGGAACTGCATGGTGAAGGAGCTTTTCTGTGTTCTGACTAAGCTTGTCATTACATAAACCTGGGGTGGTGGGGGATAGGCTGGAGAGATGGCTCAGCAGTTAAGAGCATTGACTTGTCTTGCAGAAGACCAGCATTCAGTTCCCAGCACCCACATGGTAGCTAACAACCCTCTGTAACTCCAGCTCCAGAAGGATCTGACACTCTCTTCTTGCCTCCGTGGACACTGCATACACTTGATGAACTTACATACATGTAGGCAAAACACTCATACTCATAAATTATTTTTTTAAACCTGGGACTATTACACATTGTGGATAGCAACACATACACAAAAATAAGAACCCATAAAACTGAGGAAATGTAGAAACACTGTAGATTATATCAATGCCCATATACTACTATGTTATCAGTGATAGGGCATATTTCTACTCATTTAAGTCACTACCAGTAGCAAATATACATAGACCCTTAGCCGGGTGTGGTGGTGCACACCTTTAATCCCAGCACTTGGAAGGCAGAGGCAGAAGGATCTCTGTGAGTTCAAGTCCAGCCTGGTCTACATAGTGAGTTCCAGGACAGCTGGGGCTACAGAGAGACCCTGTCTCAAAAAGACCAAAAAAAAAAAAAAACCATAGACTCTCATTGTACATTGTTTTGGAAACCACTGTAGATCTACATTTATTCAATTTTTATTTATTTTTTTATATGTATAGATGTTTTGCCTGCATGTATGTAAGTGCATAACACATGTGTGCAATGCTTGTAGAAGTCAGAAAAGTACATTGGATTCCCTAGAACTGAAGTTACAAATGGTTGTTAGCCACCGTGTGGGTGCTGGGAACTAAACCTAGGTCTTCTACAAGAGCAGCCAGTGCTCTTAAATGCTGAGCATCTCCCTAAACCTAATCTCAATTTTTTTTTAATTAGAAGAAGCATTTCATTACAACAGCATTAACCTATTCAATAACATTTTTCTGAGCTAGGGTACATCTCTTTATTATAAACTCTATAAGACATAAAATTAAATGAGTTTTTAACGTTTAAAAAAGATCTCCACTTCGTTGTTAAAACACACAGTTTCATACAGAAAAATTCATTCCAAGCCTATTGACATTGAGACGTTTTCACATGCATTTCTAATCTCTATATACATGACTATCACTGGTCACAGTCACCCACCTTCTGAGCTCCTCGGCATATCTGTCAGGTAGACAGCCTTCCTCTCCCACTAGAGCCTCCATTCTCTGCTATCCCTGCCACTGTCCACTGTGCTGTCAGCACCCCCATCCATTCCCCCCATCTGCTAATCTCAATTTTTTAATTCAATAAGTAAAATATAAAGGTTGGCATTATTAATAAGAAAATGTAGATCTCTGTGAGCTCAAAGAGAGCCTGGTCTACATAGTGAGTTCCAGACCA